CACAAATTCATATTCGTCTTGTATCCAAGACGAATTCTTGTTATTACTAACTCTATCCTGTGGCCACCTTCCTTTCGTTCATAATGATTGGAAGGGCCAGCTACAACCATGTTGTACCAGCATACAGATTTATCGATTTGTTCACCTGATCTCCTCCTTTCCTCAATTTCCTTGTCACAGTGATATTGCCTGATACCTTATAGAAGGTATCAGGCATACTGATACCCTTAACTTGTAGAAGACTCTTGGATATGAAATATTCAGTATCTTGAGTTATCTTGAGATGATTTCGGGGCTTTAGTGTCCCCGCGGCCCGGTCCTCGACCAGGCCTCCACCCCCAGGAAGCAGCCCGTGACAGCTGACTAACTCCCAGGTACCTATTTACTGCTAGGTAACAGGGGCATTCAGGGTGGAAGAAACTTTGCCCATTTGTTTCTGCCTCGTGCGGGAATCGAACCCGCGCCACAGAATTACGAGTCCGGCGCGCTATCCACCAGACTACGAGGCCCCTGTTGGGATTTCCTATGATTTCCTTCAGTGTTGTCAGCAGACTGCACATCTGCTTGTTCATTTCCACAGATTCCAGCAGGGGGAAAGGGGAGTTACAGGAACTTGATAATCCTTCCCTGATTGGTTAGTACTTTCACAGCTCTCTTGATTTCAGCGAATCAAGAGAGTATAACTATTACTTGGTTTTCGTCCTGTAGTTTCCTAAGGCTTTGTAGTTCTGCTTTTGAAATGTTGCAGATCACTGCTGCTTGTGTGTTTCTTTTCAAGGAATCTTAATGCCATAACAGTGACAGTTAGCTCTGCTTGCATTGAGGAGGCATAAGTCTCAATACTGTATGTGCTCCATTTCCAGTTTGAAAGACATTATTTATAATTTACCAGTCTCCGTGGTGTAGTGGTAAGACACTCGCCTGGCGTTCCGCGAGCGCTATGTCATGGGTTCGTATCCTGGCCGGGGAGGATTTACTGGGCGCAATTCCTTAACTGTAGCCTCTGTTTAACGCAACAGTAAAATGTGTACTTGGTTGTAACAACGATTCTTCGCGGCAGGGGATCGTATTCCAGGGACCATAGGATTAAGGACTTGCCCGAAACGCTACGCGTACTAGTGGCTCTACAAGAATGTAACAACTCTTGTATATATCTCAATTTTTTTTTATAGTGTATGCTTTTGTAGCCATGCTATTAGTAGGATTCCATGAACCATTAATGTAGATTTTATCTAATTAATTTCTGGCTTATTTATAACTTCCTAGAATTACTTATGCCTCATTTCTTGTGGAATCATGTTGGACATTTTTGTTATCTCATTTAATATAATCTTACATGCCTGAAATGCTATGCATTTTAGTGGCTTTGCAAAAAAATAAATATACCAATAATATTGCTTTTTGTAACTAACTCATCAAGACTGTAACTTCCTCAGCTAAATGAATTGTGGGGTTCAGTCCCTGAACCCATTATGTGCCTCTGTAACCCTTTCCAATACCGCCCACAAGATGGGTATGGGGTGCATAATAAATGAACTAATATTATGTAATCTCACAAACCCATTGTACCTTCTCGTTAATAAATAAATCAATAAAAAATTAATAAACATGTCCCAGAGGGGATAAGATCCCAACAGGAAGTAGCTCAAGGGCTTCCTCAAACAGGTGAAGTTCTTCGAGGAAATAGACTGATCAATGATGCCATTTTTAGCTTTTGTTGTAAGGAAGGTTGCAAGCCAGGACTTGGGTAACTTAAGCTGCCATCTGGTGATGACTGGGACCCTTAAGGTTATCTTGAGATGATTTCGGGGCTTTTTAGTGTCCCCGCGGCCCGGTCCTTGACCAGCCCTCCACCCCCAGGAAGCAGCCCGTGACAGCTGACTAACACCCAGGTACCTATTTTACTGCTAGGTAACAGGGGCATAGGGTGAAAGAAACTCTGCCCAATGTTTCTCGCCGGCGCCTGGGATCGAACCCAGGACCACAGGATCACAAGTCCAGCGTGCTGTCCGCTCGGCTCCCTTGGTTGGTGTTCTTCACCCACGAACAAGCTGTTCATTGTTCTTAATTTGTTTCTCATTTTCAGTTCGTTGTTTCAAGTGTTTCAAGTTTCAGTTTCAGCTGTTTGGTTGCACCTAACCTCAGACTTTTCAGTTTTGGGAAGATCTCTGCTCCATATTCTTTATCTTGTGGCAAGAGCCAAAACCTGGGGCCAGATTCACGAAGCAGTTACGCAAGCACTTACGAACCTGTACATCTTTTCTCAATCTTTGGCGGCTTTGTTTACAATTATTAAAGTTAATGAGTTCCGAAGCACCAGGAGGCTGTTTATAACAATAACAACAGTTGATTGGCAAGTTTTCATGCTTGTAAACTGTTTAATAAATGTAACCAAAGCCGTCAAAGATTGAGGAAAGATGTACACGTTCGTAAGTGCTTGCGTAACTGCTTCGTGAATCTGGGCCCCAGGTTCGTAAGTGCTTGCGTAACTGCTTCGTGAATTTGGGCGGGGTCTTGGCATCTCATAGTACAGACTGGGTCTGGGAGGCCTGGCATGATCCGAGGGTTACTGCTGCATCACATAGGCTGCTTAAGGATCACGTATAGCCTGATATTAAGTTTGGAACCACCACCTTTTTTGGGGTATTTAATACAAAATGTGAAACAAATCATTCCTTTTATATCACCTTTTATACCACTTTTTATATCTGCTTTTTTTATACTATTGGAACAAAAGCTTCCAGAGTGTGCTGTTCCAAAAGGTCTAATCCTCCCCCCCCCTTATATTACCCTCACACAATAATACTATATATATATATTTTTTGCTCTTTCGCCTCAATATCTGCATAAAATCTATTTATAAGACACCACATAAACTTAATTTCATAATGTCAGTAGCATTCAGCATAAAGAAATTGAAGGTTATTTCTTACACTATGAATTTTTGAAGCATAAGCAGCCATGATGTTGAAAATATTATTGTGTAAGGTAGTTAATGACATTCTCGGAGTACAAATGTGTGCATGCATAACAGGATGATCATATATGGATCTCAGGCATACTAAGTTCAATACAATGCAACATTCATACATACTAAGTTCAATACAATGCAACATTCATACATACTAAGTTCAATACAATGCAACATTCATACATACTAAGTTCAATACAATGCAACATTCATACATACTAAGTTCAATACAATGCAACATTCATACATACTAAGTTCAATACAATGCAACATTCATACATACTAAGTTCAATACAATGCAACATTCATACATACTAAGTTCAATACAATGCAACATTCATACATACTAAGTTCAATACAATGCAACAGTCATACATACTAAGTTCAATACAATGCAACATTCATACATACTAAGTTCAATACAATGCAACATTCATACATACTAAGTTCAATACAATGCAACATTCATACATACTAAGTTCAATACAATGCAACATTCATACATACTAAGTTCAAAACAATGCAACATTCATACATACTAAGTTCAATACAATGCAACATTCATACATACTAAGTTCAATACAATGCAACATTCATACATACTAAGTTCAATACAATGCAACATTCATACATACTAAGTTCAATACAATGCAACATTCATACATACTAAGTTCAATACAATGCAACACTCATACATACAAGTTCATACAACATTCAAATGGAGCAACAAAAAATTAACAAGTATCATATTAGGTTTTATCAATGGAAACTTTAAACTTTATCCTCTTATATATACAAACTTAAATGCATGAAATGAACTAGCTGAATTCTATAAAAAAATTTAGTTGACAATAACTCAGAGGTAAAAGACGAACATCCTCATTTTAGCGTAAAATTCATATATATATATATATGAATTTAATATACTGTATTCATATATATTCATATATAATATATAAATTTTTATATATATATATATATATATCATATAGACATTGTCATATATATATATTATATATATATATATATATATAAATTCATATATATATATATATGAATATATATATATATATATATATATATATATATATATATATATATATATATATATATATATATATATATATGTATATATATAAATAATAAACAAAAATAAAATATATATCCCCATTTAAACAGAAGAGCCTATTGATATACAGTATATACTGATATATATCAGTATATACTGATATACTGTACTCCCAACACAATATTCTTTAATCCTTTCAATCCTAAAAGAACTCATGCTGTACATGTTTGCCATCATAATAATGTGTTATATACAAAGCAGCAGGCACACACAGTGCAGAGGTCTCAAGTGGGTGGCGGTGGTGGCTGCTAGAGCCAAGGAGAGAGAGAGAGAGACAAAGCAGCAGGCACACACAGTGCAGAGGTCTCAAGTGGGTGGCGGTGGTGGCTGCTAGAGCCAAGGAGAGAGAGAGAGAGACAGAGAAAATGATAACTGAAAGCTAAACACAATGGCAACTTTCATTTCTTCACCTGAACAACTTATTTTCGGAGATTTTCGCCACCTCCGCCAAGACGACGAAACCCCTGCATAGTGTAGTGAAGCCGTGACATGTCATGTATGACAGGAAGAGTGAGGAAAGTTTGATCAAATCTTTAAAGGAAATTTACCCCCTTATAAGTAATTTAATTATATTTAATGATAAAGGTTAAAAAAGGGATTCTAATGTGAACTACAGTACAGTACTTAGGTAATTCATGCCATACAAGCACTAGGAAAATGTTTCCCTTGTAGAAATATATGTACAATACATGTAGGAAATGCAAAACTTAAAAGTATAAAATCTTGCCACATTGATCACAAAAGCAAAACTATATATATGACACTAATGCAGTTAAGCAAATATTAAATTACAAAAATATATAAGTCAATGCAGTGAACAAACTTCAATGTAAAAGTTACCTAAACTGGCTGACTAATCTGTATATTATATGAAAATAAGGGGTGTTAGGCTTTACTTACGAGAGAAGCACCATTTTTCAGTCTTGAATGCGTACAGGACAATCAGTGTTACCAACACAAGGACGACGAGACAAGCGATCACGATGCCAATCACAGTGGACATGGACACAGGTTCTGCTGAGGGAGGGACACGCTGTAGTGGGGGCTTGTTTACATGTCCTGGTGGGGGGGGGGGGGAGGGAGGGGGGTAACTCACCAGGGGCCAGATTCACGAAAGCACTTACGCAAACACTTACGAACCTGTACATCTTTTCTCAATCTTTGAGGGCTTTGTTTCCAATTATTAAACAGTTAATGAGCTCCGAAGCACCAGGAGGCTGTTTATAACAATAACAACAGTTGATTGGCAAGTTTTCATGCTTGTACACTGTTTAATAAATGTCACTAAAGCCGTCAAAGATTGAGGAAAGATGTACACGTTCGTAAGTGTTTGCGTAAGTGCTTTCGTGAATCTGGCCCCTGGACTGACAATGTAAATATGTTCTCCCACAGTTATAGCTAAGATCTGAGCATGCAACGTTTTGTTTAAACCTGTTATCATTCAACTGTACTTCTAAACCAGTTATTAAATTATTAACCAGTTATTAATGATTAAAACCAGTTATTTACAGTCTCCGTGGTGTAGTGGTAAGACACTCGCCTGGCGTTCCGCGAGCGCTATGTCATGGGTTCGTATCCTGGCCGGGGAGGATTTACTGGGCGCAATTCCTTAACTGTAGCCTCAGTTTAACGCAACAGTAAAATGTGTACTTGGTTGAAAAAACGATTCTTCGCGGCAGGGGATCGTATTCCAGGGACCATAGGATTAAGGACTTGCCCGAAACGCTACGCGTACTAGTGGCTCTACAAGAATGTAACAACTCTTGTATATATCTAAAAAAAAAAAAAAAAAAAATGCCATGGAAATTTTTGTGAACCTGTATGTGTGTGCATCAAATGAACAAATCCACAAGGGCCGTGACTAGGATTCGAACCTACGTCCGAGAGCATCCCAGAAGCTGCCTTAATGACAGCCCGTCCTGCAAACAAAGATCCAAAAGTGATTCCATGCACCCACCAAACCCCCTGTTTATGAATGAAAAGCGGTTTACACACGACTCACACAACCCGTCCTCGACTCAAGTCCATTACATCCAGCGGTCGACCCCACAGACGCATTCATAAATTTTAACTTGCTGTTCATTCAGAACAAAAATTTTCTCAAATATAAATTAATATTATAATATATTAGCATATTGTGCATATATAGGCATAGGTTAGGTTAGGTTAGGTGTTTAGGTTCGGTTGGCGATTATTTGTATTTGTAGTACGTGGGTGAAGCATTTATAGCGTAGTGGTTCGAACAAAACTCGTCAGTGAAGCACTTGTTCTGGAAGTGTTCGAACGAAATCAGTTGTGAGTCGTGTGTAAACCGTTTTTCATTCATAAAGAGGGGGTTTGGCGGGTGCATGGAATCACTTTTGGATCTTTGTTTGGAGGACGGGCTGACTCACAACTGCTGACGTTCGAACATATCCGGAACAAGTGCTTCACTGACGACTTGTGTTCGAACCCCAACGCTATAAATGCTTCACCCACGTACTACAAATACCAATAATCACCAACAGAATCTAAACACCTAACCTAACCTATCCTATGCCTATATATACACAATATGCTAATATATTATAATATTAATTTATACTTGAGAAAACTCCCTTTTTGAATGAACAGCATGTTAAAATTTATGAATGCGTCTGTGGGGTTGACCGCTGGATGGAATGGACTTGAGTCGAGGACGGGTTGCTTAATGACCAGCTGCTGCTGTTCGAATCCTCGTCACGGCCCTTGTGGATTTGTTCATTTGATGCATCACGCTATTGTAATTTCTGTGTGAGCTGTGTGTTCTCATATACTGTATTTAATTTTGGAATCAATTCCAATATGAATAGATTTCTCATGCTGTGCATATATTTTTTCACTAACTGAAGCATAAATAGCAAATGGGTGACTGGTTAGTTAAGCTTTGTCTGATGACTTTTATAGTCTCGTAGAGCAACCCGTTCTCGCAAATTTAATAAGTCAATATTGACTTATTAAATATGTGCATAGGTGACATACTTAACATAATAGTTTCCCTTGAAAAGCTTCATAGAAAACACCGACCTTACCAAACCTACTTAGTATGTTAAGATAAGCATCTTATTGCTTCGTAATTACAATTATTACCTAACCTATAATAGGTATAGGTTAAGTAATAATTGTAATTACGAAGCAATAAGATGCTTATCTTAAGATACTAACAAGGTTAGGTAAGGTCGGTGTTTTCTATGAATCTTTTTAAGGGTATCTATTATGTTTAGTATATCACCTATGCACGTAGTTAATAAGTCAATATTGACTTTACGAATTTGCGAGAACGGGTTGCGTAGAGAAATGCCATGCAAATAAAGGAGCCTAGATTGTGGAACAGCCTCACAAATGCACTATAACTATGTACGACCTTTGGAAACCATCGAGCTTAGAGTACATATGTTTTTAGTCCGAGTCTAAGCCGAGCAGTAGTAACATCTAGACGTCTGCTGATTTTATTGGATGATCCATAGATGTGTGGCTCCTCTTGCATGATAGTATGATGATAGATGTGTGGCTCCTCTTGCATGATAGTATGATGATAGATGTGTGGCTCCTCTTGCATGATAGTATGATGATAGATGGAATTACTGGTGTCAATTTCACTTTGCCTCAGATCTACAAGATCTTGTTGAAGTTCTCGGTGTACTGCTGCTCTCAGATTGCCCATTGACAATCCAAGGTTACACTCAACGGCTCCTTTAAAGGCAGATTCTTTGGCTAACTTATCAGCTCTATCATGCATTCGGAGGCCAACATGAGATGGAGACCACATGAAATGGACTCTGTTACCATCCTTAATAATTTTGTTGCATTTGTGTCTAACTTCGGACACGAGCATGTTACAGTTATGTCTTAAAGAGTTAGCATTTACGGATGATACGGAGTCACTTACAATGTGCCTATTGACCTCTTGTCAGGACCTTGTACAGAGTAGGTTGTCATTTCACATAAGCACAGCCCAGAGCTTTTCCAAATGTCCCGGCCAGTCATACTGATACAAGAGATATACTGGAGAATATTCAATCCATTCTAGAAAAGTTTATTATATATACTCAAAAATCCTTTCCAGATGCAAATTAGCAACAATGAGACGGAATGTACTGGGCACCCATCCTTAACTGTAGCCTGTGTTCACCCAGCAGTAAATGGGCACCTGGTTGTTAAACGATTTGGCAGGGTCGTATTCCAGGGAATATTAGGATTAAGGACTCAACCCGTTCTCGCAAATTTAATAAGTCAATATTGACTTATTAGTTGCGTGCATAGGTGACATACTAAACATATAGTTTCCCTTGAAAAGCTTCATAGAAAACACCGACCTTACCTAACCTACTTAGTATGTTAAAATAAGCTTATAGCTTCGTAATTACAATTGTTACTTAACCTATTATAGGTATAGGTTAGGTAATATTTGTAATTACGAAGCAATAAGAGCTTATCTTAACATACTAAGTAGGTAGGTAAGGTCGGTGTTTTCTATGAAGCTTTTCAAGGGAAACTATTATGTTAAGTATGTCACCTATGCACATATTTAATAAGTCAATATTGACTTATTAAATTTGCGAGAATATATATATATATATATATATATATATATATATATATATATATATATATATATATATATATATATATATATATATATATATATATATATATATATATATATATATATATATATATATATATATATGTCGTACCTAGTAGCCAGAACGCACTTCTCAGCCTACTATGCAAGGCCTGATTTGCCTAATAAGCCAAGTTTTCATGAATTAATGTTTTTTCGACTACCTACCTACCTAACCTAACTTTTTCGGCTACCTAACCTAACCTAACCTATAAAGATAGGTTAGGTTAGGTTAGGTAGGGTTGGTTAGGTTCGGTCATATATCTACGTTAATTTTAACTCCAATAAAAAAAAAATTGACCTCATACATAATGAAATGGGTAGCTTTATCATTTCATAAGAAAAAAAATAGAGAAAATATATTAATTCAGTAAAACTTGGCTTATTAGGCAAATCGGGCCTTGCATAGTAGGCTGAGAAATGCGTTCTGGCTAGTAGGTACGACATATATATATATATATATATATATATATATATATATATATATATATATATATATATATATATATATATATATATATATATATATATTATATATACTGTATATATATGTATATATTTATATGTATATAAATAACTAAACCCCAGAGGAAGAAAAATCCACCATCGAGCACAGGCAAAATAGAACTTAGTGTGCTGCTTAAGAAAGTGCTTTTCTCACCATTTCTAACCTAAAGCAAACAGAAGTCTTCATAACTACTATAAGGACAGTTCCTCTGGGCTGAAGTGTGCAGTACAAATTAAGCATTAAATGTAATGAAGTTACAGCAGCCGATAGGCCCTTCAGTAGCTCCCCCAGGCTTGCTCAGTGGTACTGCTAAGTCTTAAGATCATACCAGGGCCTTTGATACTCTTACTGACCCACCAGGAACCAAGACTGGAATCTGACTCATCGCCTACACAATCGACTTCAGAATGGACCTGGATGGACCGAAACGTCGTCGTCCCTTCACTTTCTAGGATTCACCTAGTTGTGTTTTGCGGGGGTTGAGCTTTGCTCTTTCGGCCCGCCTCTCAACTGTCAATCAACTGTTTACTAACTACATTTTTCCCTCACCACACACACACACACACCCCCAAGAAGCAGCCCGTGACAGCTGACTAACTCCCAGGTACCTATTTACTGCTAGGTAACAGGGTGAAAGAAACTTTGCCCATTTGTTTCTGCCTCGTGCGGAATCGAACCCGCGCCACAGAATTACGAGTCCTGCGCGCTATCCACCAGGCTACGAGGCCCCCGTGTGTGTGATCTGGTCAACGATCAGATATCTGATTGTTTTTGCCAGATGGGGAGAGCATAAAACTCAAGAGATCGATCCAAAAAACAGAGGAAACTGACCAGAAAGTCCAGATGAACTAATACAAGCCACTG